AATCATCGGCTTCTTCAGTTAGGTTCGATTTTTATGTGGATTTAAAAATCTTGAAAATCTGATTTAGTTTGCTCCTGATGACCTTGAATATATATGAATGATTTATATTGTACCTGACCTAATGATTTCAACTTAATTTCTTGTACCTAAATTTTAAGATTACATGAGACTATAATTTCTTTACCCTGTGTGAATTAATTCAATTTAAACTTCTGATTTTTGGTTTATATATGTGGTTAATAATCAGTTTAGGCTTCTGATTTCTTGTTTTGGTTAGATAGCTTTTGATTTCATCTCTGATTTTTCTTTATCGGTTAGCCATGGTTTCTTGCATGATGTTGATGTGGGAAGATGGGTTTTGCAGAGGTTACATGAGATTTGTGATGGAGTTGATGTCGTCTCCTCCAGCTCCAAAGAATGCTCCGGTGAGTAGAGATTGAAGGTGGGTTTCAAGTTCAAGACATTGTGGTGGATTTGGGGCAGGAGGATTGTCGTGGATTTGTGTATTTGTGTTAACACAGTAAACACTCTCAAATACGAGAGAGAGAGATCTTTTATTTTTTAATTATTAGAATAAATAAATAGGTATTAATTTTTTTTAAAAAGGGGGATATATTTTTTTCAGGTGCAAAAATAGTCCCTTAGAAGTGAAAAGACAAATATACCCTCATGTGGGAGGCATATGAGGGGGTTAACAGCAACAACTTAACGGAAGTTGAGTCTGAGGACCAATTCCACATACAAACCACTCCAAAAGGACGATGAATCCAAAAAACTCGGGGTTTGGACTAAACCCCAAAAAATTGCATACAACAAGGACCATTTTTGCAATTTTGTCAATGATGAATAGTAACACTTTCATTTTGTATAACATAATAAGCAAAACCTCGTCTGTGTTCCCCACGAATCTGTGTTCCCCACAAAACGGGGAGAGACAATTTCTAGTTAATAATAACGTAGTTTTGTAACTATTACTAATGAAGAACAATCACAATACCCAACAATAACTTCGTAATCACCCAATCAAAGATGACATCTTGATAATGCCTAAGTACAATGTTCCTCATGTTGAAAACAATAAGAATCAACACACATAATCATACCTTCCATTTTCAAAGAAAAAACTTACTCATGTCTATGGCGCTTGTGGGACCGATGTTCCCTATCACCAGAACGAGAACGCCTCGTATCAGATCGATGATGATGATCATCATCATAACCTATTGATGTTGATGTTGATGATCTATCATGTTTATGTGAATCTCTTTCATCATACTCATAGTTTCGACTACTAGATCTTCTTTCATGTTCATGGCTATAGTTACTCCTCTTCTTGGATCCATATCCCTCTTTGGTTTCCTCATATATGTGATCCCTACTACTCGATCTTTTTCTCTCATGTCTACTAGAACTTTTTGTATGCCTCTCTTCCCTATCTCTATTTACACTTGTTCTTTTCTTTCGAGGTGGTGATGGAACCTTCAAATTCCAATCATCATCAAATAATGTTTTCATATAGTTGAAAGATCGAGAAAAACATACCTCAAATCTTGACATGTAGTGGCCTTCTGGGGGAGGTGGAATCCCAAGCCTCTTCAAATCATCCAATGGAATCGGACGCCTTTATGCACAAAAAAATAAAATAAAGAAATGAATTACTATTATAGTTATCAACCAATTAGGTTATAGTTGAGAATTGCATACAATGGAGCACGAAAAGGTCTTTCTCTGCCCCCAAATCGAAGCTGCCCGGATTCTTTCTTACCTCCAAGACCTCCTCCTGAGAGAATAGGAACTAAAACTATTATATAACATACAGTAAATTAAATTCGGGCAGCAAGAAATGAACTGATTACTGACCTAATCTTCTTGGAATCCACCCTGGCATTAGTTGCTGCCTGTTATAATCAACTATGATTTCAGAATCATCAATAACTGAATGATGCGCCTTCTGCACATGAAAAAACGAGAAAAAAGATCTTTCAATTGTGGATTTGATTCCATTGTTTTGTAGGTTTATTTGTGGTATTGTGTTTTAAGTAATGAATCAGAATCCAATGAGTATGTTAATTGTTACCTCATATGCTCTTTGCATTTCTCTTTCACTTTCGAATTCAACAAAAGCATAACCTTGAGAGGCACCTGTAACTGTAAACAAGAAGCTAATATCACACATATGCACAACTCTTATGAAGCTTACATGGCACTTAGTTGAAACTTGTATGTGTTACCAATATGTCTGACCAATCGCAAGTTCTTCACTGTGCCATATTTGCTCATAGCCTATCAAAGAAAAAAAACAGAAAATATTCAATACTCCCAGGTGTATCAAAATCTCACATGAATAACAAGATTGGGGAAGATCATTGAAGCATGGAGATTCATCCTTCTACTAACAACTGATTTGGACAGTATGAATGACACTTAAATTTGGTTCTTACTATCTTGTTCTTATGTACGGATAAAGTCAATAGAAGTTGTGTAGATCATAAAAGTTGCCAAATAAATCCTCACTGTTCTTATCATGCATTCTCTGTGTGATTGTTTCTAATAGGACGTTTGTTCTCTGATCAGGCAGTGTATATTTTAATTGACTGATAAGATAAGATTTTGTTTCTAACTATTTTCGTGCTTATCGAAATTCAGTTTCCAACAACGAAAATGAACAGAACAATTGTCAACAAGGTAGGTCATTAAAAATCATTGATAAACAAGCACATTTCATAAGCAGGTTTTGCAATTGTTTAACCTACACCTACTACATGATGAATTTTGGATTGAGTGATAATAGCTAGGGCAAAATCAAACCTTACGAAGAGTATCTTCGGTGGTCAATTGAGAGAGGTGGCCGACGAAAACGGTGCAATAAGGATCTTCACCGATGACATTTGGATCGCCGAACGGATCATCTGCAAGAGATTAAGGAGTTGAGTGAAGAAGAGATTTAAGGATGAAATTTCAAGTAAAAGAGGAAGATGCATACAGAGGCCGGCGGAAGAACACAGGAGAGCTCTGTAGACGGCGTTATCGTGAGGAAGAATGTCGGTGCCATCGATGCTACCGGCTTGGATTGGGTGATAGGTCTGTGCGTAGAAGACGGAGTTCAATTTGCTGCTGTTAGTGTTGTTCACGTTTCTGTTCATCGTGTTCATTTGGGCAAATCGCGGGAATAGCAACCTAATTTTACTTATATTTATACTTTTTTGGATATTAAATCGAACTAGAATCGTTTTTGGGTTTTTAAAATCGGGATCGAAATCCTAAGATTCCACAAAACAAAACATAATTTTAATTTATAATTTTGAAACATGAAAAATATTTCGAACATTCAATTTTTATTCAAAAATTTTAAAAACTTCAAAATATTACTCATAAGTTACAACACAAAATGATAAACAGTAAACTCGTAAATGGTACAAGACATAAAGTGGTAAAAAAAATTCATTTCCAAAAAAAAAAAAAGTAGGATCGGATCGGATCTCGATCCTACGATCCTACCCAAAATACGATCTGATTCGTTTTTCATACCTATGATCTACGATTAGGATCGCGATTTTGACAACCATGATATTAACCATATACAACCTCAACTTATTTATTTATTTTTTAATATTTGCAAGTTTAAGATTTTACATGTTTGATATTATTGGTAAAAGAATAAGTATGTTGTTATTATGAATAACAAATTTGAAGCGTGTTGTTATTAATATGTAAAAGGGTCATAAATTTTAGGGAAATAGACTTACCGGAGTAACTACCTTTCCGTTTTGTTCATATTTGGATAATTTTTTTTGTACACATCTAGGTGACAAACTTGTTGAAAGTGTTTATATATGACCATTATGACCGCCTGTAGCAGACGGTCATAATAGTCATATGTGAACACTTCCAACAAGTTTGTCACCTAGATGTGTACAAAAAAAATTTATCCAAATGTGAACAAAACGAAAATGTAATTATTCTGATAAGTCTATTTCACATGTTAAATATATATATTTTCTTGATTATTTGGTTTTAATGACTCATTATCAATATCGTTTCATAAGTCCCAACTCATTTTTGTTATGAATTAAAGCTAATCGAAGTAATTTTTGTTTTTTAAACCCATTGTCTGAAGCTATCAAAATCTATGATCATCAATTTACATATATTTGTTCCTTTTCTAACTTTAAATTTGACATAAAACATTATTTTTAGTTTTTAACTAGTTTACAACATGTATATTATCAAGTTTCAATTCATCTAATATCTATGTAAACTTGGTATATTCATCACATTAAATCATGAACAAAATCACTGATTCTTAATGTTTAAATGCTCAATATAAAGTGTATTTCCCTATTCGAAAGTGAATTGACATGCATTCAACTAATCCCAATCAATTTCATAACAAGACCTTTTCCTTACCTGTAAGCATTAAAGCGGTCAAGATATTGTTTTCCATAGTTGCATATTATGAATATAAGTTATGGATAATGGATATTAAGACTCCCTTCTGTAATAGCCAACTTATAGGGGATGCTAATAGTTCCTTGCTAAATAGCATCCCAAATCAAGTATGTAAACTTCAAAGATATGTATATGTATTAAAGCAAACATTTAGGATTTGAATTTGCATTTTGACCTGAAAATCAAAGACGTTTGTTTTGACTCTAAATATAGACAAGGCATGTGTCTACATTAGGTAGAGTGAGAACATTGTTTTATTCCTAATCTTGTATATTGATAACATAATACAAATTGGAAATGACAGTTGAACCTTGTAAGATGTAAACTCATAGCGAGAAGCTGTTTTTTAATGAAGGATTTATGAGACACGAGCTATATAATTAGAATTAAGATCTATGTGGATCGATCAGGGTAGCTTATAGGTCTCATTCAAATGGTGTGGTTTTAAAAATATTTACCATGTAGGTTAAATTTTATACCAAATCAAAATTAGAAGGTAAAATAAAAAAGAAGGAAAATTTACTTATTAGGGTAATTACATTTTTGTTTTGTTCACGTTTGGGTAATTACATCTTCTCTTCTCTATCTAATCTCTCTTTCACCTTCAAAAACACAACTTATACTTATAAGTTATATCAACAATAATCTACTAACCAAAATAACTCATATTTTTATTCAAATTATCTTCTTTCATTTCAAAAGTCAACTGTTGACTTAAGTAGGAAGAAGTGGTTGTCTTGCATCAGAATCTACACGATGACTAGCCTGAAAAAAATTAAAAAACAAGTGTTATAGATTTTATATATAAGTACTCAAAATTATTTATTTAAAAAAAAAGCATCTTCACCTCCTCGTTAGCACCTGCTGTTATATTAATGAAATTCGAGTCTTTTGACCTGTCACAGATTATTTATAAGTTCTCAAAAATCGATATATATATATATATATATATATATATATATATATATATATATATATATATATATATATATGGGAAAAGTGAATATACATTACAGCCTCACCTAAGCTTAGGTACTAAACCTCATGAAAATACGTTGTTTTACTATATAAAGATTGCGGTTAGGGGATTCACGATTAAAAATTGAAGATGTAGATTCAAGATCGACGCAATAGTTTTGATAAGGAAGCAAGAATATTGATTATCTTAGATCTTCGTGACAGCAGAAAAAAGTAATGTTCACTGGGGTGAAGTAATAAACGATAATGGAGGAAAGAAATTAGGGATGGAAAAATGATAATGGAGAAAAGAAATGTTATCGAGGATGATATATTTATCAAGTGAAAACCAAATCGGGCATATTTACTAAGCTAAAACAACATATTTTATAGGTTTAGTACCTAAGCTTAGGTGAGGCTGTAATGTATATTCCCTATCCCCTATATATATATATATATATATATATATATATATATATATATATATATATATATATATATATATATGTATATATATAAGATTAAATGTTTGATGAAATTAAATATAATTTTTAAATATTGTTAACTTAATAGTACCTGTTGTTGCTTTTAACAGGTTCCAATTCCATCACTCTGGTTTCTTCTTCCTTAACTTTTGAAATAGGGGAAAAGAACTGAATGTAGAAAAAGAAGCAAAAGTTGGTAGAATGTTTTTGAAAGGAATGGAATCTTGAATTCCAATTCCAATTCCATCGGAATCCACATACCTGGTGCATTGAAATGAAAACAATAGAAATTCCTAGCATGAAATTTATAGTCAAAGTATGACCAAACAAAGCAGCAGATGCAAAGCCTGTGAAGATTGTTGCAACAGTTGATGAATATTTTTTTAAAATTGTATCTGCATCACACAAACAAAAAATAAATAAATTATATTTTGGGTTTTTGTGAAAGAAATATAATTTATTTATTTTACTTTACCTGCATATTTGAAGAAAAATGAGGATAAAATTCCTTGCCCTGCATTGTTTATAATCAAAAGCATTGTCGCTTTTGAATGTCCATGCAAAATATCAAAGCTTTCAGGGCCTAAAAAAATAATAAATTAATTGTTTTGCATAAGCTTTCACTCCCATTCTTTTGTTGTTAAAAGACTAAATTACCCTTTACTAATTTTATTGTAAGTACCTTTGATAACAACTGTTCCAAGTATCCCAAGAAAATTGAATATAGCACCATATCCATACAAAAACAAATTCTGTAATCCAACAATAAAGGATATAAAATTACAACACAAAATATAAAGAAATTTTAACTGATATAATATTGAGATCACCTGAAGGTATATGCTTGTGTCATATTGACTTTTCAGTGCATATTCATTGAAGACAGAAGCCAAAGAAGGAACAGTCACCTTTACAGAAGTTAAATTAATTAATTTTTTGTAGATATATATAATTAGATAAATAATGCTAAAAAAATACAACTTACAAAAATGAATGTGTAGATATATGCACCCATTTCAAGTGGCACATCCATTCTACTACTTCCCTCAGGTAAAGCTTGCATTTGATTTATGCTGATTCCAATAAGCAACAGAGCAAGAGCCTCACACTAAAAAAAACATTTGTACTAAAAACTAATATCATATGTTTTATGATATATTTACAGTTTGAATCTCTTAACAAACCTGAATAATGGAAAATTGTCGCTTCATTATTATCTTTAACAAAATTGCAATTACCAAAACCTGCAAATTTCAGTTGATAGAATTAAACAAGAGAAACAATGAATGGATATAGAGTGTTAAAGATATGTTTAGAGTAACAATTACCTTCAGATTGCTCAGCATCTTTACAGTTGCTGGATTGAAATAGAGCTACAAAAGAAAATCTCACAATGAACTTTAGGTTATCTGGATATAAAGCTATTGATTATTGCTATTATTTCAAACATATAAAAAAAAACCTGCATGATGAACTTTAAGTAGTTATTGATAGCATAAAGAAGTGCTGGAACAGCAAGAAGCATGTTGTTGCGGGCTGATTGTATAAAAGTGGAGAATGAAAGAAGTGGTTTTTCTCCTATCTTCTGATTTCTAGACTGAAAATCAACAATATTCAGCAATTTGTGTTCTATAAGAAGGTTTTTTCAGGAGGAAAATCAATCAAAAAGAGCAATTTACCTGGATTAGAAGCATAACCAATGCAAAAATAACCTTTGCAATTTCAGTCAAGAAGTTAACACTGATGGGGCTAAACTTGAACTTCCCATCCACCTTGGAAATATACACCAATATTGGCTATAACAAGAAGATGAATTGATGAAAGAGTAATACAGTGATTAGTTTATGCAACTTCAAGATATGGGATATAGATTATCATATGAAGAGAACTCACCTGTAAACCAACTAACATACAGTCACCAACAACCAAGAGAACATTGAGTGCCCTGTGTTTCTTGGAGATCTTGCTCCGGTGTCTATCATAAGCCCTTGAGACAGCCTTCGTGGATACCAATTTGGAATGACAGACACTGCACTGTATCTCTATCATCCCGTTTTTCATAATACTGAATCTCCCTAACTTCTATGCCCTTTTCCTCAAAATTTCAAACCAAATCACCATTGATGGATCAATTACTCAAAATCCTCAATCGGAGACGTGTACGCTTGATGTGCACATTGGATACATTTATGTAACTGCATAACCTCTTAAAACCAATTGATAAAATTTCCTACGATTAGGTAAACTTCAATTTCGCTCTCCGCAGCTCGGATCATGCAACCTTATATCAAATTTGAGTTTCATCGCACGATAAATCAAATAAATTCAATCGTGAAACATTAACAGGACCTCAATTTTATGATCTCTCGACACAAGGGACAACTAGGAGGCATGGATACCATTAGATCTGACCGGTCGGGTCGCCGGATTGCAATTGGGGACGCCTGAAATGAATCAAATGAACTGTACCTTAAACGCTGGAATTTAGGAGAAAAATACATAATCCAGTTCCCTAAGTTCTCCAGATAACGAATGAGACTATGCAAATGGATCGCGCAAGGGTTCTAATGGGGCTGAATTATGAAAAATCAAGTGATTTGGGATCCGGTTGCTTCGAATTGTTGTGTTTTCTTCTCTCCCACCACTGCCAACACTTGTGTTCCGTGTTTTGCTTTGAGTTTACAACACCATGATTTTAGCATGCATCGTAGGTCTCGACAGGAATATGTAAGAAAAAAAAAAAGATTTAATATTATAAAACAGTTTTCTTGGATTATATTTAAAAAAAAATTTAAAAACTTATTATTTTATTTTTTGGATACGGACATTTTAACAGCTTTACGATAATCTTTTTTTTTTTTAACAATTTTCTTCTAATAAATCTTCTAACTTTATTATTTTTTTGGAAAAAACTCTCATATTTGACAATTTTTTTGGAAAAAGAAAAGGTGAAGGTTTTTCGGAAAAAAATTTGAGGGGTTTTACGGAAAAAAGTTGTCTAAAACCGGAATATTCCATGTAAACCTGCTAAAAATGTCAAATTCGAACATATATAGAAAATGTAAGGTCTTCATAGAAAATTTAAAAAAAATTGAGGTTTAACCTTAGAAAAATCTAATATATATGACATTTTGTGATATTAAACCTAAAAAAAAGACAAAATTACACCTTTAAACAAAAATTTTATGACGTTTTATCTATTTTCTCAAGGTGCCTTATTTCAAATGTAATTAGTTGATAATACAGTTTCCTTTGTATAGGTTTAGGGTGACAATTCTTGACACCACACGAATCCGACATGCAAATAAACGAGTTTGGGTTAGTAATTTCAACCCGTTTAATTAAATTGGTTGACACAACACGATATGAAAATCAAAAAGACAAATGTTATGTGAGTTTTGTAACTAAAGATAGTATGTTAAAAAAATATTTACCAAAATATGGTGGTTTTAAATATATTTACAAAAAAAAATGGCAAATGTAGTTTTTATCTAGCCCCATTATATATACAATTAAAAGAAAATTAGTTTATGAATAGTAACGTTCATAAGCAGGTGAATTCTTCAGCTGCAGCTAAAAGTCTTCGGCTCCTCACCGCCTTTACCCTCCAATCGATCTCCTCTCCATATTGTTCCCACTGTCTTCTATAAAGCCCATTGACGAACACACACAACTCTCCTTTTGTTTTGTTTTACCTCCTGTTGCGTCAAAGAAGAGATATAGGAGATGGAAGCCAGCAAAAGCGCCTTGATTTTTCATTCCTTAATCGATACTCCTGGAAGAATCTGATACTTGTTCTCCACCACTTCTCTGCCAATAGGAATCGTTGGCCAAAGTTTATCTCCCCCAAACATCCCATTTGAAAACAAGGTTCATTCATATACATTCATGTTTCCATTTGATTTAGGGTTCTTCTTCTTTTTGTTCATGGTTTTGATATTTCTGATGGAATTATCAGGAATAAATTGTCATTAGGAAAGATTCATAAAGTAGGGTTAATATTACATTTCATTGTTTGGGTGCAAACCCAATCCCACATTGTCAAAAAGAATAATTAGATGTTAGCATATAAGGCAGTCGGTAATCCCTTCTATCACCAATTGGTTTTAAAAAATAGAATCTCATTGTTCTTCAATGTTGAGCATAATTGGGCTACTAGCGATCCTAACAAATGGTATCAGAGCTATGGTTGTAGCCCAAATGATGTAGTCGGCGCAGGTGGCGCAATCCATAGTAATTCTCAATCTAACGAAATCGATCCTTAAGCCTTGTATCGAAAGTCTAACTGATGGCAGGTCAGGGGAGCGTGTCCCGAGAGTATCGGCGGTATGAAAAAGGATTGGATATGATGAACATTCTTTGAAGGGGAGGCCAAGGGCGGAACTTGGGTTTAGGGGGTGATTGTTGGGGGTGCAAACCCAATCTATAACACCCGTTTTCCATAAGTATCAGGGGATCAAAATAGGGTCTTTGGAGAAAAAACCTCTTCCACGACGTAGTAGATGTTGCAACCCAAGCCCATGATTTCTAGGGTTTCCTCTGTATTCAAAGACCTTAACTCTAGAGTTAGCTCATTTCCCTCAGCCTCCATCGTCCTATTTTGAAACCCTAGCTTCTCATCTTGCCTTGTGAGCTATTTGATGATGTTTTGGTCACTTGAAGGTTGAAGAAGGATTTATGGAGCCATTGACCAACTAGCAAAATCATCTCCATTTCATGGTGCACCTTCTGGACTAGTGTAAGTATCGAAGTTCCCATATTTTTGGTCCATCTCTTATGGATCTAAGTTGTGTGCCCTTTTCCTTCATGATTTTTGGTTATGGATGGTTGGTTTGGATAAAGTTGGCAACTTTATCACTTCTTGAGGTCCCTTGGTCATCATATGGTGCAATGCATGGAGTTTTGACTCCATTTCTTACCCTTTTTTACCTAGTTTTAGGAGAGGCGTGCATTGGATATGCATGTCCATAAAGTAAGGATTTTTATGGTTCTTTAGAAGGCAAGGAAGCCTTCTGGAAAGTTGGGGCAAAGGACTTAACAGATTAAGTCCTTAATATGAAAACATGGCTTCTAGCAATCGTCACGACGTGGCCAAGGAATAACCACGACGTGGCGAAGCCCAACATCGTCATTGTTTTGTCCTGACATTCCCACGACGTGCCCAAGGAGGGTCCACGACATTGAAACGTCCTTTATATGGAATAACTGCATGGACATGCCCACGACGTGGCCAAGAGATCTCCACGTCATGGTGGCTGGTCACTTGGTTGGTCGTTGACTTTATGGACCTTTGACCGTTGACTTTTGATCAGTTTGACCTTGGGTCAAACCTGAAGGATTTCAGTCGTTATCTGAGATTCGATCTTTGTTTGGTGTTAGTTGGTTTGCAGGATTAATCAGTGCAAGGAACGAGAGAGTTGTTGTGCTTCTCCAGTTCTTTGGTTCATGTGAGTTTCTCACTATGTCACGTATCCCATTGTATATCATTTGCATGGTAGGATAGAGGTTTTGTTAGAGTACAAGTATGTTAGTTGACTAGGATAAATCATATTGGGAGTTGACATACATTTATTTATAATTATTTTGATGAGAAAAAAATTAAATCAAACATTTATAACTAATAAAATTAAAATATATATATGAAAAGGAAAATGCTAGAGGAGAGTCGAGAGGGGGGATATGATGTTAGATGATATCAAATCAAAAGTAGGATAACCCCATAAAAGTTTCAAGTTTGAGACGTTTTTCGTATTTCATCCAAAATTTGAATTCACAATATATAAAATGTAACTTTTGTTTGGAATTTAAAACAACAGCTACTGACTTAATTTTTTACAACAAAAAGAAAACAAAAACACCGATAATTATCATAGAATATTACATAAAACAAAAAATATGCAATGTATCCACTTGTATTTTTCTATCAAAACAATAGTTTTGAACCTGAAAGTATGCATTTTTCTACCAAAAACAACAATGCACATTTGTATGTACTATTGTTATTATTTCACACATAATGCTCCTCATGATCAACATTGTTTTGAATCTATTTCCAATTTTAATTTAATAAATCTGTTATATATCACTTCCGATGTATCATTACGTTTATTTTATCTTTTTTTAATATATATATATGTTAAGTTACAAATATTTTTATTTGTAATATAACTTACATCTTTTAGACTATTATCAGTGCTTTCTAAAATCACTACCAACAATCAAACACCTTCATCGAGCAAGTATGCAGATGTTGTCGGTAACAATCAAAATGTCAACCCAAATATTTCATATGGATATCAACACACACGTTTCCAATCTACTTTCGATATTAATCTCAAAAATCTATTATTTAACAACTCTAAAGAGAGACGAAAACACAAAAAAAAATATATGGATAATAGAAGATCCAATGATATACCCGCTACATCAAATGATATTATGATATCTATCATGTAGTTTATTGACTTTTATCCATATAATGTTATTTTAAATATTGTACTAATATATTCTTTTATTTCTTTTGTTTGTTTTTTATGCCATAACTAATACATATTTCTATTAACTAATGTTTTTATTTTATAGCTAATATGAGTCGAGCTCAGCAATGTTTCAAATATACTTCTAATTTTACTATAAGTACTCCGTTATCTAAAATTTTCAATGATATGACTACATTTTTTTTTCATTGTTGTTTCATGTGACCATATTAGTTCAGTAATTGAATTTGTATGATCATTCTATTGTTCAAAATGCCAAGAATATGATGTTTTTTCAAGGAAGAGCAAAAATGAATTTGCTCAAGAAATTTATGATCGTTTGTTATCATTATTTATGGGAGCTAAAGAATAATACTTAAGCTCGGATAGTCTTTGTCATTCAGATTTTGTTCACGATAACTTTGGTGAAAGTTTATATTCGTCTGATGTTCTAAATGGTCTTAAACTGTCAGATTTTCCAATTCAAAAGTTTATATTAAAATTCGGTGTTCCAGTTTTGTTACTAAGGAATATTTGATTAGAAATGCAGATTGTGTAATGGAATTGGGTAAGCGTGTTAAAAAAAGCAGAGATACTATCAGTAAGTAATATAGGAAACCATATGTTTCTTCCAAGAATGTCTTTGACGCCTTCGAATAAAATAATTCCTTTCACATTTCAAAGAAGACAATTTTCACCGACTCTATGTTTTGCGATGACAATAAACAAGAGTCAATGATAGTCGATATCGAATGTGGGGTTGTTTTTTAGACAACCAGTGTTTACTCATGGTCAGTTGTATGTTGCATTGTCGAGGGTTAAAAACAAAAATGGATTAAAAATATTAATTTTAGACAAAGATGATAAACTTAACAATACGACATCTAATGTTGTATTCAAAAAAGTCTTTGTAAATTTGTGATTTATAACAATTATTTAAAATATGTCAATAGTTTTTTTATTAGTATACATTCAATTACCTACTTATTCATCATTTCGTTTATATTTATTTCGAAAGTTTATTTTAAAAATAGCTTAATGTTTACATCGTAAGTTTCGCCATTATTTTTTAAAAATATGTCAATATTTTTTTATTAGTATATATTAAATTATTTATTTTATTCATTATATCCTTTATATTTATGTAAAAACATAATTTTAATAATATGTAATGCTTATAATTTTATATTAAATATTTTTTTAATAAACATGTATAGTATACATGA